CCTGTAATATTTACGCTCCATCTACAGTAGCAGTTGACCTGCCTTCCATTGACAGGCTCAGTCCACCTTCTGCTCGGGCTCTAGGATTTCTTGGAGCCAAATTACAAAGTCTCAGGGATAACTATGTCTCTTTTGTCCCTTCCCCACCCACCAATAGCAGTTGGGCTCTACTCAAATCTATCCATCCTATTACCGGTCTCTAGTCTTTTGGAGCCGAATTGTGAATTTTCGTCGCAAACCCTGCCCACTTCGATGCACACCCTACCCACTAATGTCAGCTGGCTCTTTCCGTTTAAGAAGTCAACCGTCCTTTCTCCAAGTCTGCATGACTTCTTGGAACCGAGTTATGAATCCCCTTCGCAAAGTCCGCCCACTTCGATTATGCTTCGCCCACTTATGGCAGTTGACCTTCACTACTTCTCCGAGCTCTATCCAACTTTTCAGCCCTCTAAGGCTCTTGAAACCGAATTATGAGGACTTGTAGAAAACGCTGTTCAGCTTAGGATATGCTCCAGCCATTGGGCAGACCTCCGCTCACATCGTGTATGCTGAGAACACCTTGGACATTTCTTCACTGCATCAATTTGTTTTCTGCTCTATAGGCTTTCTCCCAACCGAACTATCAATTTTTTAAGCACTGCCTTTTTGGAGAACGCTCCGCCCACCGAGGGTGAGTCTCCCTAAATCGACCCGTCTTGTCAATGCCCACCTGTACCCACTTTTGTCCTCAGTCTCGAGGCGGTTTTGTGACTGAGTTCGAAACCAAGGCTCTTAGTACCGTTAAATTTGATGCATGCCACGCCCATTGTAGGCGGGGCTCCTCTTATCGTTAGCTGATGTGTGTTCTTCACTCCTCGAGATATGGTACACCCATCCCGAACTTGAGCCGGACCCTGTAGGTTGTTGTTCGCTTAGTACTGAACTTGGTGACAGACAGATAGACAGATAGACAGATTTGGCGCATTAGGTGAAAAATAAGGAACAACTTCTGAATTGGGAGGTTTCGAAATCGCTAACTTGTGTGTCCACATAAAAATAAGAACGACATGCAATGCATGCTAGCATTGTTATAGTTTACTTACTTTCAAAAATAAAGGAAACAGTTAAGAATATAAGCAGAATTCAGCCGTTCAGCCCGAACAGCAAGGAATTTCGATCGATCGGCAGACGTGGCGAAAGCTTCGAAGACAAACCAGCGCCGTAGAGAGTGTGCATACGGGAGCGTGCGACGACACCATCTTGCTTAGCACGCGTCTTCAACACTAATAATCACTGAGAGATAGTAACGTTCACATTCCTGCGCAGTTGTGGAAGCAGCACTAGCGGCTCCGTGGAGCATACCCCACGACCCATGGGATAGGAACTGTACCTGTATTGTACTCGCCGTGATCACCCAATTCAATCACTCCCTACCTCTGGGAATTTACTTTCTGAAACCTTTCAATGCTGCGTATTCAGCCAATAATATGTATTCATTGCTCTTTAGGCTCCTTTGCATGGATACGCTCGCTGGGCGGGTGGACTTCTCATCACTTTGTTTTCTGCTCCTGCTTACAAAGGGAGTACAGAAGACACGGTGAACCTAGGAGCATGTATCGAAATTCCCGTCAGCGGGAATCTCGTTGTGAAACAGGTTTGGAATGAGTGCCGGCCTTCTGTAATCGAATCACCAATAAAACTAAGTTTTCAGCTCAAGGTTACGGAAACTATACGGAAGAAGCGTGCAGAAGACGTTTACAGCCGGCAGAGAACCCGATCGAATCTGAGCGATCACTTTCTCAGCTTCTTACCCTCTTCAACAACGAACAATCTTTCATTGAACCAAACAAAAATCCACAGTTATTAAACGATTTTATCATTAGACAGTAGGTGTTTGTGTTTTCAACCACGTGATAACGCTACACTGCAATAGATTAGGAGTGCTTTTTCAAGTCATGGGAAACAATTATTTTTTTGAATATTTCCGTATTACATTCTTTTCTAGTANAGGCAATCAAAGCCTATCACCGACATTCTTATTTGCAGATCGGATTTCGCCGACATACATAGGCTTTTTTAAGATGCGGCAACAAGAGTATTTTTACTCCTCGGTCTGACACACTTCCCAATTGCAGGCGTTATCACCTATGTGACCCACTTTGTGTCTCGGTCTCACCATAAAGGGAATTCCAGCACCACGATTTCCACGCCAATTACGTGGTGAATTTGTTCACTCAACACACAGCGAAGTACGTAGTCTGTCGCAATCACCATAACTCCTGAAGAAATGATTACACGATCCAAAAATTCAAAGCAGCAAATCAGCGTATGGTCCTCTGATTTCCTTCGCATTTTCTTATATTTTCAAGAAATCTTATCCAAGTTACCTTAAGGCCATTATAGCGAGCGTCGCTTAGGGTTTTTGACAACAGAGGGGATAGATACCAGTTATGAGCTATTCAGTCAATAGCCCTCATTTTCGTCATGATCTTCCCACCCCACAAGGATATGCCGGATAAATGCCGGTGCTCCAAGTTCAATGTTTAGTTTCTCATGTACTGAGAACTCATTCATCAGTGTGTATCATCAGCTTCACCATTATAAGGAGGCCTCACACAGACTCGGGCGGCAGGCATTCGCCAGAGCGAACTATAACGCGACGGCATCGCCAATGGATACGTGTTGTGGCCCTTATACCGCATTCTCTATGGTCTTCGGTTCTCACACTACCAGCATGCCTTCCATTCCACTCACCATCGGGATCCAGGCCGCGCCAACATCCATCATTAGCATACCAATTCGTTCAATTACTAAAGCACCATTCATTAACGACAAGTAGTCTACGGGCCATAGATGAAGCATCCACGTTGATGTGTACTACACTGTCTAGTCTCAGACGAAATTATATTTCCACTCTATTATTTTGCATTTCAGAGCCATTTAGCAGAATGTAACCATAGTCTCTCTTATTATGCACATAACCTAATACCATGAAAACAGCCGTTTTCAGAAAGTGTGGCGCTCCACGCCCTATTGCACACCTCTCCTCGTCAGTTCAGTGGCACACTTGTACTGCACGGACAGCTTTTCAAACTGCAATTTTAACAGAAACCTTACTAAGTAATGGAGACATAATTTCATTTTTCCTTCTCTGTAAAGCTCCCACTACTTATCTTCTCATCTTTGACTTTCTACTTAAAAGGTACGGTTACAATAAATTCAAGAGGGTTTAGTTTGACGTAGTGGTGTTTAGTGGTACCCGCAGTAGCGAAAACAGCAGGCACAGTCCGTCAGGAATACATCAAAAGTACGCTCCTTCTGGACATTCGTTCAACTCGCGAAACAGGTAAAGCAGCTAAGCGAGAGACGTATGAATGCGTTCAACCGCAACGAATTGATGGCCGCATGCCAGAGGTAATGCTTTAATGCGAAACTTCACTTGCGCCGCTCCTGTCAGCAGCTCGTTCAAACAAGTCAACGTAGTGGGAGTAGCGCTGCTGGTTGCGGAGTGACTGCGACGGTCCTGCTCAGTCTACCACAGCACCTTCGCTCGTGGGAGCCGTCACTATATGCTTCTTGGTCAGCCAGGAAGTTTGCTCTCCAGTGTGCGCACTAGGTCTCCCTCCAGATTGCGAAAAGTCCTTTATCGGTAAAACTTTCTCTCGCTTGTAAAGTTTGATAGTCGCAACTATCAGATCTCCGATAGAACAAAATTCACATGTTTAGGGAAGGAAATCTTACGAACTCTTTCCCGTGGTGTTCGCATTCATCTGGTCCTTCCTTTGTCCATATATATTTAGCCTCTTAATTATGACTAAAGACAGCTTGAACTCGGCACTTCTCTCTCATCTTCGTTACAGAAGCATTTATCTTTTTGCCACCATACATATAAGAATGCGGTAGTCCTTTAATATACTATATTATTCCTATGTAAAGTTTACGGTCAGTGCCACGCTCAACGTTATTATCAGTATTCTGACGCAGACTACACTTGTTTTGGAAGCTTTTCTGGCCGCAAAACCGATTTTGCAAGCACAATCGTTTTTAGCTCCTGTTCGTATGAACTCTAATATACACAGTTTGCGGCAAATCGTTTCAATAATGCTTATGCATGAAGCTGGATCTAGTTAATATCCGATTGAAATCAGTGTATGAATACAACTTTCATTTTTGCTTCTGGTGTTGAGCCCTTTTAGAAAGCAATTTGACTGCGCTGCTTCAAAAAAACAATTTTGGCGTAGTGTGAACTGGCTTCAATGTTATACAGCTTTTTTACGCTGCACCATATTACAGAATATAGAAGAGTTCCAGGAATGTCAGTAAGAAATCCTTCCTAAAGTGAAGCGTATTTCGACCACATTGTCTAATTCGATAGTTTAGTCGTGGTCTCATGGTAATAAATCAATAAAAAAGTAAACAAATGGCTGCATTTGCGATAAAAACAAAACCAGCATGATTTGGGTGGAAAGCGTCAGTCGCTCTCCGCTGTCGTCAACGTGTCAACTTCATTATTACATTTTTTATTGCTATCCCTCAGAATTCTCGGTGACGTTCGTTTATTGTTCTTCTGTTCCAACGTTAGTCCGCGTCACCTCTGAACCTGTTTTTCAATATTCTTAGGTAAGGAATTCCAGTTATCCGTTGAGAATCGCGACTTCAAATATAATATGATGCTTAAACGATTCTCGAACTCGAGATGCGAATCAGAATACCTTCAGCACATTTCTCGAGCCTGAGGTCACCCAAACTATTTCCTTTGCATGAAAGTGAGTCTTAGAGCTCGATGAAGACGAAAGAATGAATGTTAGTCAGTTTCGCTGACTATAATGCAATTTTTGACCATCACGACGTAGGTCCCGGAGGCTCAGCAAGGCTGAGCCAGTATGATCGACTTGGAAAAGGCTTCGTATTCCTATTTTATTCAGGTCTTGGAGCGTCACTTTGTAGTAGGAATTACTGATTAGAATAAGGTCGAAATAAGGTCGACACTGACACTAGTGTAGACGACCATGACCTCCACTAGGATGCGAACTGACTGGCACAATTCGCATGGAAAAATGACACTCGGCGACTATCATGCCTGCAAGCGGCGGCTTGCCGGCGATATGTTCGCCTCACCATCATACTGATCACTCGCCGTATTATCAATACATTGGGAATGATTAGAATAGCCGAGAGGAGGTTGTAGTGTTGAAGCGGAACAAGCGATGACAGTCGCATCAATGCTTCATCAACAGGGCAAGGAATGGTAACTCATTTCTTGGGTTCTGCCGTTTTCATGTTCTTCCTCTTTTTCGTGTACCACTCCAACCCTAGTTAATACGAAATGGTTGCATTATCATCCGTAAATTCGTTCCTTTATGCATCGTGCAACGCTTATTGCTGGGGCAGATAACGTCTCCCACATTCGATTCAAGGTCCAGCTCAAGTACTTAGTTTTTGATTCATTTTGTTCTACCTGCTAAATTCCACGGATTCTATTTCACGAGGATCCTCTTTCACTGAGAAGATGCTCGAGCGGATGGTGGCGAGCCCTACGGCGCGACCCAGTGCGATAGGGGTATAATCGCGACCAAAAGCACCATGTCTGCTCTCTGAACGTAGGTGATTTCAGGGGATGACTCACTGTTTTTGTAGTGCTGTTTGATTCGTACCAGCGTCCTCCACTCAGGCGCATACCATGCATGCTTGCGTGTGTGCGTAGCGCTCCTGTGTCTGTGCGGTGTCTGGTATCCTGGCTCGACATTCAACAGGCAATAAGCTTGCATTATAGTGACTGGAATTACATCGGAGCGATTCGGGCGCCTCCAAAAACTAAGCCCCTTGTTCCGCTCCAGGATAGTGCTAACTACCTGAGGTCTATCCTACCCCACAGCCTAAGAGCCTGCAAGCTACCTCAGTTGCCTTCGATATGCCGAAAACAGCAATCTGGATGGCCTTATCCCCTGATCCTGGGGGACCCATATACGGCAGCGTTGGGTAAGAACCGCTCGCGAGAGGTTGCTAGAATCTCAAGCGCCAGATATGGCTGTGCTAAACTAAGAAGGACTAAGATGGAGATCTTTTCAACGCAAAGACGCTGCCATCCGAAGCGTCACATTCGACATATCCTGATGATGCAGGCAAGGAATCAAGTAGACGTTCTCGACTGGACCGAGACCGACAAGGCACGCGCCCGCTACGACGCCGTTTCGATAGCTAGGAGAAGTAACTAGTTTGACATACGCCAGCAGAGGCTGTTGGCAGTGTTTGGTGTCCTCTTCAACACCACTTGGCATTAACATCGATTCGTATCGAAGTCTAGGACTCACTAATCCGGACGTTAGAGATTGATAGAAGCTAGTGGTTCAACTCCTGCTTGATAATCTTCGTTGGCCTACGCACCAAATCCGAGCACGGACGAGTAAACACGACTAGCAATTCTATATGGAATTGGAGAATCCACATGGAAGTCATACCTTCTACAGGTCAATGCTGTCGCGGACTTTAAACGCCTGAAGATTGGCCAAGAAAGAACTACCTGAAGATTCTTCACATCGGCACTCACGTAATGGTAATGGAATAAGCAGGTGAGATACTTGTCGCAGTTTAATGCATTGACAACAACATCTCATGTAACTCACAGTCCAAAACCCCCCTCACTTCGTTTGGACTTGGAGTAACCTTGATGGACGTTCAAATAAGCCAATAGGCCACAGCATCTCAATCGAAGTTTTTCCTGACGGACGATCGCGTGTTCCAAGTTCTACCGAGATGGAACATTTACTGCATCCCGAAAGGCAATGGAAAAGTCGATCACTGGACTTCTACTCCGGATCTCTTCGATAGCCATGTCCATCCTGGCCTACGTATCAACTGCAAAGGATG